GTAATGCTCTGACCAGCAGCAATTACCCTTTTCTCATGGGAAGTGCCAAGGTAGCTATATAAAGGGGGTGAAAATATTTGGGTGAGGTTTGGTTTTGTTTCAGCTGCGGACATTTTTAATACAAGCGCACCTGAGAGGCAGTCCCTGGGAACGCTTGGTTCTGGGTAGGTCGTATTGAACTGGTTTTGTGTTTTCCAAATGCCTGTAATTAAGCTAGACTTGAGAGGCAGAATGAATCAATTCTTTTTATGAATCATATTCTCTATCCCCTGTAGTCACAGACCAAGGTACCATCATATCAGGATGTGTGCAGACAAAATAAAAGGAAGTCCCCGTTCCTGAAATCTTATTATATCTTTCTTCTATTTTCCTAACCAGTAGATAATATACACCAGCATCCCAGTAAAGGCTTCTTCCTAGTAAAGACAACACAAAGATATCAAGTAAGGATATTTGGAGAATGAATTTGAAGACGGCTATTATTATGTATTTATTTATTTGCTCAACAGAATGCATGACTTGGGAAAGAAATATTAATTTTTTTGTCAGTATTACATATTTTTTTTTAGTGGATGGTAAATGTAGTCTTTCACAAATCCAAATCTTTCTTGCACATCAGAGTGAAGGATCTTGTAGCAGATAATTGGTCAGTGCTAAGCCATGTGTTATTATGAACTGCAAAAAGTTACAACTGATTAAACTGTGACTTTGATTATTGATTGTGACTTTTAAATGATTGATTATTATGACCTGCTAAAAGTCACAATTGAGAAAAGCCTGGGGTGCAGGCTGAGAACTTTATTGCAGAAACACAGGACCTGCCAGCCTGGAGTAGATGGTCTGATCTGTTGTTTGCTGTGACAGACCAGTACCAGCCCCTTATGAGTAATGACAGACAAGAGTTATGCTTGCCAGTGTCCTTACCCCTTATTTGCATCTCCATGTAGGTCTTTGGGACTGCTTTAGAGTCACCTCCTGGACTTCATAAGCAGGAACTCAGATCTGGAGATGTTGTTGCCAGTCCTGGGAGAACACAAGCCCAGTCTGGAAGGTGCCACAGTCGTGATGCAAGTTCCACTGAGACCGTGCAGTAGTTGCATTGCATTGCCCTTTGCAAAATCACAGACACTGCTGTAATCTTTGTTTCTGTGACCTTACTTGCAAGTTCGGGAACTTAATTCTTTTCACTCCAACCCCTGAGGATGTTTCTTTGTTCCTGATTTGCCTGCCCTTCTCCAATCCGTTTCTAATTCAGAAAAACGGAGATGGAGTAGCAAGCACTCTCCTGCAAAGTTGGGGGGGTTGGTTCATCTCTACTTCTCCCACTCTGAGAAAAAGCTCTTCACAGTAGAATTCAAATTCCCACAACAGCAAGGTTTTAGATTTCAAGTGACCAGAGCACCCAGCGATAGGAAATTCAGATCGAGTCCAAGAGCCCCATCTTGACTGGAGGTCACTGAGGCTACACTGCTGCGGCCAAGGCGGTTGCCTTCAAAGGAGGTCAATCATCACCACTTCTCATAGTAGTAAGTGGCACCTGTCTTACCCAAACCTGCCTTCTGGCCAACAAAACAAGCTTTGGTGTTCCAGAGGGTAGAGAGTGGCGCAATATGAAGATGTGAAGAGACCTACCTTCATTATATCCTTGGGCAGTTCCCTCTTCAGAGGCGTCTGCCATTGTTGAGTAATTGGCTCAGCTAATTTGTGACTGATTGTCTGTATAGTGTGTAAATATTTATTTGCATAAACATTTATTTACATAAATATTACTGCATATCACCAATATACAAGGTGATAAATTAAAAGTATCCCATGGGGATGTTTACAACTCATTCGTTTGATGGAGTACTTTTTTTTAAGGTTGAAAAGGGCAGGACCTGTCTATATCCCCACCCTCCTGCACACTCCCCTCCCACCCCCGAGAAATTGAGAGTGAATGAAAAGGATTTCAGATTGCTTATCCATAGAAACAATGTGATTTATCCATAGTCTTGGTCCCTGAGAGTGAGCAATGCAGAAAGCTGTTGTAATTTAATACTAAGCCGATGAGAGGTACATTGATTTTTGCAGCAGGTGAAGATTATGCAAGAGTAGCCTCTAGCATTACTTGTGGAGCAGGGGAGGGAACTGTCTAATTTTTTGCCTGGTGGTGACAGTATAGATTTTTTTGCACGACTCAGCACAAATACTGTTTTACAGGCATCATAGAAGGTTGCTTTAGCTTTTGATTTACAGTTAACACATCTCGACCATTTTGCTATATCTAGGTCTTCTTTTTCCTGGAGACTGAGCACGTTCTTTATTTGCTTTTGTTTTTTTGGAAGGAGAGGAGAGGGAAAGGTAGTTTTATTTTTGGTTCATTGCAGGCATCTTTCAGATTATTCAGAAGAGAATATTTCATTTAGTCTTCCCCATTTGGTACACTTCTGTGACGGTCTGAGAACAGAAGAAACTAATTTTACTGATGGAATCTCAGTGGTTTATTTGCAGAGAACTTGCGTTGCTGCTGGGTGGATGTGGGGGGAAGAGGAAAAGCAAGGAGAGCCAGGCACGTTCCTTGTTGTAGCTTTTGAACTCCATTTGGTTTAAACTTAAACTTTTTCCTAAACTGCCCCTCCTGCAGAACCTATTGTTGAAAATAGTGGGGAATTCAGGCTCCTGTTTTCATTTATGACTCAGCAAAGTTAACAGACTGTGTTAAATTACTGAAGCAGCTTTGATGTGATTTCCTGTGTGTGAGAAGTGGAGAAAGCCAAACCTATTACGTTACGCATTACTATTTGATGTAAAATAAAAGGTGCTTGCTTTAGTCCCCAGTTCCAAGTGAATATATCACTCTCATTTGCTTTCATTACATTTACAGTGAGAACAGCAGAAGCAATCATTTAAACCCTACGTAATACAGCTCTCTTTGGGAGACCAGTACTTACAGGTGCTGCAGAAAATAAGTTTCCCTTCGCAGAGGCAGGGGGAGGAGGCTGGCGGTATAAAAGAGCGCATCTTCCGATTAAAAACTAGCAACCTCTGCAAAGGCTCCTGAGATGGTGCGACTGACCGTTACTCAAAAGCCTTGGTCTAGCGCTGGCCCTGCTCCAAGCGCTTTGTTCTCTAAAGGTGCCCTGACAGGGACTTACCCTCCAGCACTGGAGCAGGCGATGATGCCTCCTCAGATGTACGAGAAAGCGGCCAATGCTGCTGATCAGCCGAAGGAGAAATCTCCCCGACTTAAAACAATAACTTGCTCTATCGCCGTTATCGCGAGCTTTGACAGACTGTGATTTACCTAGTCGGTGCGAGCAGGGCTTGTGCATCGTCCTCATGGTCGGCAGCGAGCGGCTGTGCCCTGCCCATTTTCCAGTGGTAGCTACAATCGTGTGTTAGACTTTGTTTGCCCAGTTTAGGAGGCTGTTCTCCCTCCAAGCAGTTCTTTCCCCACCGAGGGTTACAGGCAGATTGAGAGGCTGAATGTTAGCGCTCTGGTTTTTTAAAAGATAAAGAGCTACAGAGTGAGACACTAATACTGCAGGGTCCAGATTTCTTAGCCTCTCGTTCAGTATGCTCCATTTTGTCGTTCTTCAAGCATCCATGGGAGATACGTATTATAACCCTGGTGAAATCAAAATCCGGTATGCAAAGGCATCACAAGTAACGTTATCCCTGAAGAAGGCTTTTCTTATTTTTTCTTCGGTTATTTTGAGGAAAACACTGCTCTCGTGGCACCAGCTGGCTGGCTATCTCTATAAACCTTTTTTGCTGCTGTGAATCAGGATATACAGTGAAATTTTCTGTAGCAGAGGGAAGCCGGCAGTTGGGCGTCTGTTAATAGCCTGAAAGTAACTAATGAGGATGTGCAGTCGGAGCGATTGATTGAATAGCTGCAGTCCTGTGTGTTTCTTTTTCACTTGCTCGCTCGCTCGCCTGCTCTCCGCAAGCTGTGGGGAGGGAGGGGGAACGGAGAGACCCAGCTTTCTCTTAAGTGGAAGTAGCACGGATCCCCAGGGCCAGGCGGCCAGAAATGGAAGTTTAAGCTGCATCTGTCTCTTGAAAGGAAAACGGCAGGAGTCAAAATGTCACTGTCTGGAGTCACGGCTTACTCCTTTTCTTTAAGATTCAGAAGATAACAATGGACTTTCTGCTAGGAAGTGATTTTTCCCTTCCCCGTGTTGGGGGATGTTTTGTGAAGCTGGATTCCTTTAAGTCTGGCAATTGAGCTGGAGATGGGCAGCAGTTGTGATAAAGGTATCTATATGTATGTATATCTAGCTATATATAAAAATGTATGGATGTACAGTATGTGTGTGTGTGTAGAGATTTTTAATAGTGTGTGTACTTTATTATCCTATTATTCTAGTATTTATACTAGAAAAATATATAAGTGTGGCTTTTATGAATATTTGTGCTCGTCAGATCAGCCTGCATGGATTTAAGATGCCAAAGTCGTATCTTAGTAAGGTCATATTGCCAGAGTGAGGAGAACTTGACCTATTTTTTTTTTATCTGCAGGATATATATGTCATATTACCCAGGCAGTTATGAGTTGTCTGCTGGTTGCGTGGTTTGAGCAAGTAGTGTGATCATATAAGACCGAACTTTGACCTTTGTCAAATTGTGTTCAGCCGTGACTAAAATTGAGCTCCTCTGTGTCTTGATTTTAGTTGTCTGTTAACAACTGCATTGCTTCTGTAAAAGAAATAATAAAGTTCTCTGAATGCTATCTCACAAACAGTAATAGAATATTAAATATGTTTGGGTATTGATCTTTACCAGCGTTTTTTATTTTAATTGCCTACAATCAAGTCAGATTCACAACCTTGAATCTGTCAGTGGAAATGCCATTGTAATTTAGGAAGCAAATAAGATATAGAAAAATAGGTGAGTGTAATTCAGCAGTTTAGTAATGCACTTGAAACTTTGCTGAGGCGTCTGTCCTATAGAGCATAAAACCTGACTATTCCCCACCCCCCGGCACCCATTCATCTTCTTTTTCTTCTCTTCCTTAGAGGTCCCAGCAGAGAGATCTCCTCGCAGGCGGAGCATCTCCGGGACCAGCACCTCTGAGAAAACCAACTCCATGGATGCTTCGAATACTTCTCCTTTCAAAGTGCCAGTAAGTGTGCCTTTCCTGTAAAGGAGGAATTTTCCTCATTGAATAAGAGGAGGTTAAAATATCGCAGTCTACAACTGAGCTCTGAATAAATTAAAAAAAAAAATTTCAACAGTATTCAGTTAATATTTTCAGTTGACCAAGAGGTATGGCTATCAACTGTCATGTATTATCAATGAGATTTCTGGTGGATCCGTAACTTGCTTATTTTCATTGCCTTGATCTAAAGTTGCAAATAGTGAAGCATCAGTGCTAATGTGGGCAGCGACCTATATAAATACTTTTGAAGTCGCCGCTAGGGATTGCATTACATATTCAATTTTGACTAGCAAAAATGTTCCTTTAGGTTGGTGATAGCATGTTATTTTTGCCTCATGCCAATGAAGTACATAGGAAATTGAAATGGCTTTATAGTTATTTAGAAGCTGATGAGATTTCTGCAGGTGTGTTAATTGCTCTTTAGCTCTTCAGTTTTTGTTACGAGTTTGGTTGGCTGTAAGTCTGCATGAGACTTTTTCAGCTGGAGTCCAGATTTTCTTGCTTGTCGTTGGTCAGCATATCCAAGAGCAGAAAGGCCTTTCTATTATTAGACTGAGGGCAAACACTTCAAGTTAAAATGAGGTGCTCAGTAATTTTTTAACAATATTTGTTCATCTTTTAAAATACCTAACTTGAATATTGCAAATATTTTCATACCCCTCTTTATTTTTGGCAAGTAATCTGCCTGCTTTAAAACCTGAGAAAAAACAGGAGAAGAATTATCTAGTGAACACTGGGGTTTTTTGTATATTCTCTATGGACATGAGTACCATTTCTGTTCCTTAGGGTATATGTTCTTGCTTTGTTTAGATAGCACTCATCCCTTTTAAGCACACTTCCTAGCTCACTTTAGATCCAAATGTGTGTGAAACTTGGTTTTTCGTTAAATCCTACATTGTGTCATTTAAAAAATAAATTAAAAAAGCAGCCAAGGATTTAATGACAGCTATTTAAATTATAAAAGGATTAAGGTTCATCAGAGTGTACAAAATACATGGTGTTTAAAGCAACCTGTAAACTCATGATTTATTGGAATTGAAAAAGGGGCCAGGGAAACAGTGAATATACTGCGTATCTATACTTTGTCCCTTTTTAGAGTGACGGAATAATATAGATTGGAAGAGACCTTCAGAAGTCTCTGATCTATCCACCTCTTCAAAGCTGGACCAGCTTATATCAGGTTGCTCAGGGCATTCTCCAGTCAGGTATTGAAAACCTCCAAGGATGCAGATTGCACAGCCTTGCTGGACAACCCGTTCTGACGTTTGACTGTCCTCATTGTGAAAAATATTTCTTCTGTAAAGGCTTTCTTGTCGGAGCAAAACTTGAGCTTCTAGTGTCTATTGAGAGACTATGAATCACATTTTCCTCTAGTTCGAAAAATATCTGAAGTAGCAGTTAAAGCAGAATATATTGCTTAGCCTTGAGAAGAGAAAGCTCAGAGGGAAATCTTTGCAACATGTATAAATACCTGATGGAAGGGAATAAAGGCTACGGAGCCAGACTCTTTGGACAAGAGGCAGTGAGCACAAAGTGAAATCTAAGAAATTCCATTTAAACATAAGAAAAACCTTTTTTCACTGTGAGGTTGGCTGACAAACACTGGAACAGGTTGCCTGGGGAGGCTGTGGAGTCTCCATGCCTGGAGATATATTCAAAAGCAGACCAGACACACAGTCCTAAGCATCTTGCTCTAGTTGATCCTGCGATGAGCAGGGGGATTGAACTAGACAGTCTCCAGAGGTACCTTCCCACCTCAGCTATTCTACGATTCTATGAACTATCCTCAAGTTCAATGACCTGTTTTCTGGGTGGTACTTGGGAAAAAAAGGGTCTTGGTCTAGTTGCATGTGAAATTGTCACAAGAATATCCTGTTATGTCAAGTTCTGAGATTTTTATGGTGAGCCCACGGTCCACGCAGTTCCAGGAGGATTTCTGAACTCTGAGAGCCTTCAAAAGTCCTGGCTATTCTTGTCTTCATTTATAAGAAATTCTCTGTTTTCTTTATCTTTATCCATAAGTAATTGCCCTAGCCTTCAGATGTGTACATACGTGGTCCTAGTCTTTGTCTAACAACTGCAAGCTACATATTTGAAGTGTTTGATTGCTATCTGTATTGTTCGGTTTATATGCCTCTTTTTTTCTTTCTTCCTCGTTTTTGTACAAATTTGTAAATGTCGATCCTATCTTCTAAGTGATGTTTTAATTTTTCTCTAATACTTCTTAGCTCTTGCTCCCTTTCAAAACAAGAACCTTACGGAATGTTTCTCATTTTCCCTGGCAGTGTATTGGGCTTTTAGAACCCTGGAAGGTAGGCTGAGGAAGCAGTACATGGCTGCCTTTCTTGGGCATAAACCAGCAAAAAACCTAGAAGCTATTTGTGCCACGCATAGCTGGTATTTGCTTCTTTCTCTGCCTGGCCACCTGTATACCCAGGAGCATAATGCACCCTCCTGTTTTTCTCATAGGGATAAGTCTTCTGGCTTTGTAGGTTTTGCTCTGAATAACCCATTTATAGGCTGTTACTCCTTAGCAGGTTGCGGTGCAGGTGGGGGCTGAGATCACCCTGTTTTAAAACATGTCAACTTCTGATCTGTTTAAAAAGAGCAAGCTGCAATTAGAAGTCAGATTGCATAAGAATGCAGACGAGCTCAAGCCAAAACTACTGAAATAAAATACCCTGTTAACTTTGTGGATTGGCACACATCTAATAGGTGGATGATAAGATGGGGAGGAATCATGTTTCTTCCTTTGATTTATATTAAGAATTTCCCAGCTCTCAGAAGTAGGTAAGATGACTTGGGTGTCTCATGGAAGTCTCAGATCAGTGGTCTGAGAAGAGCTTCAAGTGAGGGGTGTAAGGGGTGCCTATAAAGGCTTTAAATTTGTGTGTGTGTGCGCAAAGTCATCTTTATTTGTCAGGGATTTATTGTACATATAAGGGAGATTAATAATAAGAGAACTTGGCGGTTTTGTTTTTCCAAACATTGACGTGTACGGTATGGGTTGGTGGGCTATAGGCAGCTGCAGTGTAGTGCTGTCTCAGTTATTCTTTCCGTGGACCTGACTCTGTGCCATACCTCTTCTACTCACTGCTTGGATTTCTAACAGAAAGCAGCTTAAGGCAGGGGACAGCTTAACCTTCTTCCATACTGATGGAAAATTATGCTGAGACTTTCATAATAAGTTGCTTTTACAGCTTTTTAAGTTTGCTTCTCAGAAAAGCTATTTAAAAGCTGTCTTCTCAATAGGACAGTGGCTTCCAGCATGTTCTGTGCAGGTTTTTTTTCCTTTCAAACACCAGGCAGTGGTACTCACTCAGAACAAGGCATCTGTTTTTTTAATACTGCTAATTGGCATTTGTTTAGCATCTGGAATTTTGATTCATAACAGCATAATGGCCTTTAAGCGAACATTTCCTTGACAAGACATTTTTTAAGTAGTCTCTTCAGTGGCAGTGGTCAATGAAGGATTTATTCTAAGGGACTGACGTGTAAAGTTCAGGAAATTTGCCCTCCTACCTCCTGCATGTACACTGGAGAAAAAGACACATGTTTAAATTTACTGATGTGTAAAAAATAAAATTTCAGTAGTTATACACATACTCTTTCTCAGGACTAACCACTACATGGACCAGTCTGTGCAATGTGTTTGTTCTGGTTATCTCCCAGTAAGGGGAATAAAGTGGATTTTGCTGATGCTGACGTTGTACAGCACAAGGCATACATACAATGATGAGAGTTCTTGGTACTTGTCCTTTCTCTTTCTTCCCAGTTGCCCCAAATATTCTTGTCTGCAGTTAAAACATTAGTCTCCGTCTAGGTTCAGTTGTGTTCAATGCCGTTTGACAATTTCCAAGTGTATCTGGGAGGAATATTGAGAGAGAACGGAAGGGCACAAGAGGTAGGAAAATTGAGATGAGGAAGTGTGTGTCTTCTCACGTATAGACAGATGCGTGCTGTTTATAGATACACATATATAGGAAAAGTCATATTTTTAATAATGAATATTATTTGACTGAACAAATAGGAAGGCAGACGGAACTGGCTAGAAGTAGGCATTGTGACGCATAGGTGGGCGAGAAACCAGCTTTTCCCTTCCCACACACACTATGTCCTGGCAGAGCGTCTCAGTCTCAGTGCATCCCGTTCCCTACTGTTTCACTGTTGAGCCCCGGTAGCGCTGCCGCAACCTACCGTATTCTCTCGTTGCTCTGCCATTGGAATGGAGGGACCAGGGTAAATAAGAGCTTATCAAAATCTTCAGACCTCCTGCAGTGCCAGGGTAGAGAGGAATTGCTAAACCACTCTTTAGACTCGCATTGCACTCTCCAATTTTTCCTTCTTTGGGGTAGGGTTTTAGTGAGTTGTTATTACAAATAATATATGATTCATCCATGTCTGCTAGCTATTAGGGGGAGAAAAAAAAAAAAAAAAAAAGACAAGAAAGAGGCAAAGAAACAAGTGCAAATGAGATAGGAAAGCCAGAACGCAATCTTCGAAATAAATAAAATTATTTTTATAGGAACCTTGTGTGAATATGATGGGAAGGCAGATAGTTACAGATTGCCTTCCTTGGTTTGTTTTTAGTCAAGAGTATAATTGGATCTATAGAAATACTGTCTGCCTCTTTGCTCTTTAAGAGTACTGCTAAATGGAACAGAAGACAATGCAGCCAACCTAAGTGAAGGTCAAAGCTTGATGAGATCTCGCGGCTGCCCAGCCTCATCTTTTATGCAGTCAGCAAGATTGTTGCTTCTCCAGAGCACTGCTCCGCTACCGTCATGCTGCCAGGTTAGGACAAGTCTGATCTTTTCTGGCCATGTGACCTGACAGCATGCAACTACATATTTTTAATTCTGCGTCAGCGCCAATGCAGAGATGGAATTGTTGATTTACATTAATGTGAGGCATCGTGGCATCCTTCATGAAAAACTGGCTGTGCTCAAATCTGTCCTCCCTAT